GTGTGTGTGTGTGTGTGTGTGTGTGTGTGTGTGTGTGTGAGCGAGCGCGCACGCACCTAGGGCTGCAAATTGGTAGGCAATTGTGTTATCAGTTGTAAGACACACATTATTCGTGCAGATTTAAACTCTGATCTCTATGTTTTACAAACGTCATCATAGTTAACTACTATGGCCTATGTGGTCCTACGCATTCCACAACTCAAGCAGCTCCAAATTTTGGCTTATGTGTCCTACAGACATTATTGTAGCTCATCATTGCAATTTATCTGACCTGACCAACTACAACTTTTGAAACTCCTTACCACGACCTCGCTCTTAAAGCAGCCATATACAACTTACATAGCCAACTACACCACGACTTTTAACTACGACATCTACGACAAACAAATATTACAACCACCATCCACAACATTTATGGTGGGCTATTGCCTCCATAGCGATCAAATACGACTTTAGCGACCCGTTATAACTATTATTGTTGAACTACAATTGTATATCAACATTATTACTCCATTTTCCCTAATTCTAGAGAAAAGTGGTCCCATATATTCACAATTACATAGTTGGATTTCTTAACTGGACTAGACCTTGTGATTTTTCCCCTAGCTAGAGTTTTTCATATAAAAGTTGAGGTGTCTCATCTCGCCGCTCTTCTTTATTATCTCTGTGTGTGTTGGATTTTCGTACAATAGTAAAACGTTAATTTATCACTCTACTAACATGGATCTTCCGGCTCACAATAGCTGTGTGAAGACCCTAAGAAAAGATAAAGGCCTAGCCATTTATATTTATTTGAATTAAATTATTATTTAGTTGAAAAATTATCAACGGTTTGTGTGAGTGTTTGGACCATTTTTTAATCATAGATTATAAATTAACTCCTTATGGAGTACATTCTTATTATGTCAATTTTCTTCTTTTCAACGAATATCCGATTGTCCCTCGGCAAGAAGTGTTTGTTATTTCATAAAATCGTGTGATAAATATAAGTGAAAAAATATATAATTATTATATAATATACAGTGAAATAATAAGCTTAAATTCTGAAGATATAAGAGAACGCATGTACAAATTAATAAAATTTGATTATTTTATTTAATTTTTTAGATAATTAATTATTGCGTGTGATAAATATAAGTGTGATGAATATAGGTGCGGATTAGGATTAGGATTAGGGGTGTAAACGAGCCGAACACGAGCGAGCCCAGGCTCAGCTGTGTTCCGCTCGTTTATATTTCGAGCTCAAAAAGTGTGTTCGTGTTCGGCTCGTTTGCTTAGCGGCCAAACACGAGCCGTTCACGAACAAAAAGTCATCTTGACAACACTAATCACGTAGTCATAAGATGTTAATGATTGAAACAAGATTTAAAACATCATTTGAATCTAATATAATAATTTTTATTCTATTTTTTTAATTAATACATTTAATTATTTATAAAACTGTAGCCTTGTAGCCAATAATTTTTTTTAAAACACAACTCATCAAAGAGAGAGAGAGATATATATATATATATATATAT